AAGCCATATAGATTATTGTGGATCGTTTATCTAAGTCTGCTCATTTCTTACCGATGAAAGAATCATATTCGATGGACCGGCTGGCAAAATTATATATTGATGAAGTGGTAACACGTCATGGTGTCTCTTTATCAATAATTTTTGATCGAGACAGTCGATTCACTTCTATGTTCGGAAAAGTTTTCAAAGAGAAATGGGTTCATATATTAAGTTAAATACAACTTATCATCACAGACAGATGGACAAAGTGAACGAACAAACCAAACACTAGAAGATATGCTTCAAGCCTGTGTTATTGACTTTGGAGGATCATGGGATAATCATTTGTCCTTGACTGAATACGCCTACAATAATAGCTACCACTCGAGTATCCAAGCAACACCTTTTGAGGTATCATACGGACAAAAATGTCGAACACCGTTATGTTAGAACAATATAGGTGAGAAACAATTGGCTGGACCTGAAATAGTTCAACAAACAACAGATAAAATTAGTCAAATTCGAGAACGGATGAAAGTTGCTCAAGATTGACAAAAAATTTATGCCGATAAACGTAGGAAGCCGATTGAGTTTCAAGTCGGTGATAAGGTAATACAGAAAGTATCACCCTGGAAAGGAGTGGTTCGCTTTGGAAAGAAGGGCAAGCTAAGCCCAAGGTATATTGGGCCATTTCCTATCCTTGAGCGAATTGGGGAAGTGGCATATAGACTAGAACTTCCTGTGAAGTTAATTGGCATTCATAACACTTTTAATGTGCCAAATCTACGGAAACGCTTAGCAAAACCAGAGGCAGTTGTGCCACTACCAAAGATTCAGATTTGATGAAAAATTGTGTTTTGAAGAGACCCCTGAAGCCTTACCGACTTCAAAGTAAAGGCTCTAAGGAACAAAGAAATTGGATTAGTAAAAGTTTAGTGGCGCTATCATAAGGGACCAGAAGCCACCTGGGAACTCGAGTCAGAGATGCGAGTAAAATATCCTCATTTGTTTACTTAGTGGAATTCCGGGACATAATTCTTCTAAGGAGAGGATATTGCAATATTCGGTTTCCAGATATAGTTGATCGGGATTTAAAGTAATATGGCGTATAAGGGTTTTTGAGGAATCAACATATGAGTTATATTTCCTCATTAGATTGAGAATATTGGTTATAAATACTTTAAGTGTGTGATGCATAGGGGGGAGGTGCCTGCTCATGCACCGCCCCCAAACCTCCTCCTTCCCACTTACTATATATAGTAAGTTTGGTTGGACTGGAAAAGGTTTTCCATAAATCCATTGATTCTATATGATTTATTATATTACTACCCCTTTACCACTTTACTCATATATGGAGGACTTTTTTCCTCTTCTCTGAAATCGTAATTTTTCTAATATGAATAGACTAAACAAGAAAAAAGGGGTTGTTTTTCGTCGGAATACGGGCTTGTTGACACAATCCCATTTCTTTCTCCCTTTCTTTCCGTTGGTCAACAACCAACAAAAGTTATCGTTTAGTTCTTCACTACTCGTACAGGAAGGCCTCTCCTTCTGTATGGGGRGAATCCTTTATTCTCAATCAAGATGCCTTAACTAGATAAATTCACTTACCCTTCATATAAGAAAAAGTCACTTTGGCAAATTCATCAACAAAGGTAAAAGAGGAAGCATATTTCAAAGCTGAGTTTTTGGGCAAAGCTAAGTTTTTGGGCAAAGGTGAGTTTTATATTGCGTTGGGTATGTCTGGTTGTTACAACTTTACAGTATAGGTTGTTACAACTTTGCAGTATATGTTGCTAAATTATAGTATAGGGTGTATGAATTGGTTTTTACTTCCTTATATTTGTTGTTTCGCTTCATCATTCAATGAATCACCTGAGGAGAACCCTCATCAGACAAGGCATTGTCCGATGAGATCCCTCATCGGATAAGGCATTGTCTGATAGGTCCTCTCATCGCTCAAAAGGTTAAACAGTAAGGAGCCTTCATTGACCATGTGTTGTCTAGTAATCCCCTCATCGATCAAAGTAGTGTCCAGTAAGGACCCTTCATTGATCATGTGTTGTTGGGTAACCCCCTCATCGATCAAAGCAGTGTCCGGATATGACTCTTCATCGATTAAAGGGTTGTCCGGATAGGACTCTGCACCGATCAAAGTGTTGTCCGGATAGGACTAAGTGTTGTCCGATGAGACCTCTCTCTCTAATAAAGTATTGTTTGGACTAAACCTCATCACTCATATTATGGCGATAAATGAAATGGCGGTGTAACCGCGATCGATGAATGGTTGTGTAACCGTGATAGATGAAATGACGATGTAACCACGATAGATAGAATAGTGAGGTAACCACGATGTTAATTAAACGTTAAAATTCAGGTTTGAACTATCTTGAGGTTTGCAGTAGATTATGTTTGTAAGAGGGTAATTCACTCACTAGACCTTTTGGTCTAACCCTCATTTATTGTAATAAATTGTTTTGCAAGTCATCCAACATCTTATGATAAAGGCAAAAAGAAGATGTAGAAGAATTTTGGAAGAAAGTTTTATTATGACAAAATTTTTGTTAACTCATACTGTTGATTTGTCATATGTAAATATAATTGGAATGTTTGTAAATTTTTGATAGATGATGTAAGTAAGGAAGTATGATACCTTGTTGTTAGCACTGTTTAGTACATGATGGGTTGTTCCAGTTTTCCATAAATTAATCACATGATAAACGTTTTATTTGTAGTTGAGACTTAGGAATGAGTTCAACCAACTTGAATGATGCAAAAATATGCAGCCCGATGCGATTTATGCATAGGAATTTGAGAAATGCATTTTTGGTAAGTGGCTCCTAAATTTGAATATGTGTCAATGCTCCGAATTTTTTTGCCGATGTTGTAACAAGTTTTTCCTACATGTATAATATACTTTTACCTCTTATGTTTTCTTAATTTAACTCAATAATTATAAAAATTCTAAAGTTTTTAACTTTTTTTGGACAACCCAAGTAATTAATACTGCCATAGAGGTGTTCAAAAAAATTGTTGAACCGTTAAAACCGGCCGAATTAAGTCAAACCAAACCTTTTTTGGCGGTTTGGTTTGGTTTGGAAAATAGTAAGACCGGGCGGTCCGGTCCGGTCTGCTGTCTAGAAGCTTTTTTGGACGGTTTGGACCAAACTGACCGCCAAATACATACATACATTTATTTATTTTAGTATTAGCAAGCCCAACTTTTTTAACTTATGGCTTATAACCCAAATAAATCCTTAAGCCCAACATAAAGCCTAACATCTAACATAATCAAAATCGGAATCTAAAACTATTAAATCATTATATCAACACATTTGACATTGACGGTCTCCAAATTTTAAAATCCCTCAAGAACTTTATCAATCTATCGATCTTTCCTAATTCATGGTTTGATTTTGGCGCACATCATCAAGACATCAACCTACTAAGATTTGGCTTCTATTTTGTTGGGTCAAGAACTCAAGACTCTAGAATTGAAGGTTGTGAAGTCGTGGATTTTGTTATTCAATACTCACAATGGAGTGTAACTTTATTAATTTGTTTGTTTTCTAATATGTATTATATATTTATTTGTTTGGACTTTGGATTGCTTGGACTTTGGACTCAAGAACAGCTTAGTTATTACACTTATTTGTTTAGATATTTTATTTTGTTAAAATGGATATTTAATCTAAAATTATAAATCATATATGTCTTTTAAGTTTAATATTTGAAGTCAATTAAAGGCCCAAACCGCCTAAACCATTCAGAGCGCACCGCCTTTTCGTGGTCTGGTTTAACCGGTCTGGACACTTGATGTCAAACCGCTCGGTTTGAAAATTTTATAAACCGCCACTACAGTTTGGTTTGTTGTCTGAGGGGTTAAACCGTTCAAACCGAACCGCGAACACCCCTACTTAGCTATGAGCATTCTACGTTTGTGATCTTGTATATTTGCTTCTCCAACATCTTGCTGACTTTCCCTGTATTGCATAATCTAAGTAAAAGTGAACATCTCACTAATTAAAATCATCATTACGTGCAGTAGGTGAAACTGCTAGTCGATCTATCGGATCAACTTTTGCCTAACCTGTCAAGTCAAAGTATACCGGGAGTTTTTTAAAAATAATTCCACAATTTATATACATAATGTTTTAAAAAAATCTATGACTGCCTATCATATGAAAAGAAATTAAAGCTAACCAAAACTTTATACATATATACTCTTTTCAGGGACCATTATGTCCAAACGTTTTGGAGCAAATTGTTGAAATATTGTAATAGTTAAAAGGCTAAAAAATTGTTATTTCCAAAAGGTTATGGGTTTTTTTAAACAACTTAGATACTTCAGGGACTTAAATGAAAATTTCAAAATAAAAGCCAATCCAGAGTCTACTTGCAAGTAAAATTTTCTCTTGGTGAGGTATGAACCAAAAAGAAAAGAATGCAAATAGATAAGATTCAGCTCAGATATCGTATAAATAAAACAAATCTGATTTCTTTTTATTTATTTGTATTTTATTTTTATGTTTGGTTTTTGAACGTTGAAGTTTGTCACTAGAAAGGAAACCATGGAAGAATCCAAAACAGAAACCAAAACCAATGTGTAATTTATGTCATCAGAATCGTACCTGGAAGAAGAAGATGATAATCATGGAGAAATCGATGAAGCCGGTGATAATTTGGAGGCTATGAAGTATGGATTCAAATTAGGTTTGTAATCAAAAATGTGTAAAAAAAGGGTAGTTTTGTTTGTAATCTTGTTATTTAGTCCCATTTTAGTGGAACAAATTTTTTTAAGTTTGTCCCATGAAATCTCACTTGTGTCTTATGGCACACCAAACATGAAATCTCACCCGGTTTGCATACCAAATGCACCCTAAGTGTATGCAGTCCAAGACTCAACAGGTATTAAACAAAATTTCCATTTTTTGCTTGCAGATTAATAACTACTGTATTCGGTTTTTCATTGTAAACCAATGATCGAAATCATCAAAACATAAAAAACAACACAGATTTCTGCGCGGGGAGAACAGCAACACATTTCTTATGTCAAAAGAATAACAGGATTCTCAAGGTATGTAACAGAAAGTAAATTAAATGAAAAATTCTTTCGTTCTGCAACAACGTTGTTTTACATGATCCCAAACGCAAAGCATTATTCATCTATGCAACCGGCTTATACAGCTTCTCGACCATTTTCCTGTATTCTGCAGCAACCCAAAAACAAGGTAAGTAAATAAAAACTCCAAACCATCAATCACCAACCAAATCAAGAAATCTTTGCAAGTTCTTTTACCTTCTTGATTACCCCAAAGTGCTGCTGCTTGGGTGTTCAGAGGTGAACTTGTGTTGGGTTCTGTTATTGTTAACAAGAAAACATGAATTTTAGCTTCAATTTGGAAAAAAACAACAATAGTATACGAAACAGATAGATGTTGATGATACCTCCAAGGAGACTCTGGATAGAAATCAGAATAGTTCTCACATCATAAGCAGATGACCATTTATCCTAAAATTTGAAATTTTCATATAAATGACCGGTTTTAAGCATTCAAGAAGCCACAACCAACAACAGACTTTGAAATTTACCTGAAGAATATCCAAACATATGTTTCCAAAAACATCGACGTTAGGATGAAAGCAACCAGTCTCGAATTTCACCTTTGGAGGCTTAAATGGGTAATCATTTGGGAAGGAAAGCGAAAGCTTGTATTCGGTTCCTTCAAACACGGTATCTTTGCTACCTGAAATCGTTCCTTTCCAACAAAAGATGTTGTCTTCCTCAGGAAACGCAGATATCCCAGAATCGCCACTCATCTACATAATTGATCACAATACCAACTAACCAATAAGACGACCCTTCTACTTCTTGTAATGTAAAGATTAAACATAAAAAGAATCCAAAGCTTACCATTAGGGCCATCAGTTCAGTCTGTAATCTGTGTTCCAAAAGAAATATGTATCAGAAATAAGCATCAAATGAGGACACACATACACACACACAGAAAATAACAAAAGAAAGGGCTAGATATGAACAATTTATGAGCAAAGTGGTCTAAAAACTTTTATCAAGTTAGTATCATTAGAAACCCTAGACAGAGGAACAAATCTGATGAAATTGATTGAGCAAACTTATCAAGTTTCTTGGATTAAACTTAGCAGCACTCCATAATTAAAAAACACAGACGAATTGAAGAGATTTTGAGTCAACCAACACCAAGGACCAATTCGAACAAGACATAAGATCAGCTAAAGAGAAAACCCTAGCCTCAGAATCGAATTAATTGAATTCGATTTGATATAGGACTGTGAATGAAAGATATACAGATGACAGATCCCTAAATCCACACAGCTATCGAGCCAATCGTCAACCCCAATTTTCAGTCTGATTTTAACAAAATCCTCCAAGATCAACCATGAACATATTTGATTAGTCGGTAAATTTTTTACTCTTTTTAAATCAAATTCGTTACGTTTTAACTTCAAATCAGCCGCGACTAACAACTGTGTTCATGAAGCAACATAAAATCAAGATAAAAAGAAAACAATCAAAAGAACCTTTTGAGGACAGATTGGGTATCGACGGTCTTAGGCGTTGGAAGAGGCTGCTTCGAGGCATTCATGGGTGGACCAGCAGTCACTTGTCTGTTGTTGTTGTTGTTGTTGCTATCTTGATTGTTCATCGTCGCCATATTATTGTACTAATTCCTCTCCTTTTTTTTTCAAATCGAATACCGAATCGAAAGAAGAACAAGAACAAGATTGATTTAAAACCAAAAGAATTAGAAGAAGAAGAAGAAACAGAAATAATCGATTCGTTTTCTACTCTTCTCTCTTCTTCTAATCTTGAGAGAGATCTGGGGTTTTGAGTGTGGATTTGATGCAAATGAGATGTGTGGGGGAAGGGGGTTTTAGTAGCGGATTTGCACGCAAAGTTCCCTTTTTTTCGAACGTTGAGACTTGACGACGGCGTGTTTCTTCTGCAACGGCTAGTTTCTTTAGGGTTTTTTTTTTTTAATTTCTCTTTCCTTCTTTTACTTTTTATTTTTCTAACCTTTTATTTTTGAATTAATCAAACAAAACATATAAAAGTTGATTTGAGTTCTTCGAGGATCTCCAACCTCACATAAAATCTCAAATTTTGTGCTATTTGTAACATTATTTCTTTTATAGTGAATTGTATTTTTTTTCATATGGTTTACCAAAAATCTGATTATCGTCCTATGATTTCACTAATTTTGTTCCTAATCCGTGGTATTCTTACAATAACTTCTTTCTGATGATGATACATAATCTTTCAACAGTCCCCTTTACGTCGAGCCAAAGGAATGATGGTTCTCTATTGTTGCATTGATAAAACCCTGTGTCAAAATAGAAATTCAGTAGGAAAATATAAAAATATGATGAAGGAAATAGTACAATGCACCGAATTCTTTGCAATATAGACTTTTCCTTTAGTCTAATATTATCTGTGATTTGTTCATTAACCATGAGGGTTAGGAAAGTAAGATGATATATAAATTGTTGTCTTATTAAAACCTTACACCAAGGAACAAAACCTGAAATACCAATGTTACATATATAATGGACTCGTCCTTTTATCTATTACCCATCCTGTTTTTTGGATTAATCAAAAGTGATAGTCTCTGTTATGATCAATCTTCAAGTAAATCTCTAACAATCCATGGCAGATATGGATAATCTTGTGAGAACAATATGAATATGTAGAAGGAGACTTGAGAGAATTTGTCAAACTTTGGTCAAACTTCAATATACGTAACTGATTTTACAAATGAGCTCTTACAAGAATTACACTAAACAAATGCTATTTATAGGGTCAAAGATGAACCCCTTTAGTCAAAGTCAAACTACATAAGAAAAGTCAAACACGATGACTTTAAAACAATTATAGACAATTTTATCTTTTCAAGACGAATACAATTTAACATTTTATCCTTTTGTATTCAGGCTTGAAAGAATTTGCGCATGTTAAAACTCGTTTGAACTTTGTCTCTTTAAACTCTTTATGACTTCTTCAAAATCTTCAAAACAATCTTTACTTTGAAAACTTCAGACAATCGTTAGTTGAGAAAATCTTCTAACATTCTCCCCCTCGAATGTAGAACAGCGATGATCTTCATTTTTGACAATGTAGATCAGAATGAACAATAATCTTCAGAAACAATTTTCAATATATCATCTTCAAAGAATCTTCAGACAAACAAATCACTAACATTTTTCTCAAAAACGGACTTCTTCAGATAACGAACAAATTTCTCTTCAAAAGACATCTTTATCAGTTAATTGTTGTAAGGATGATCTTCACATTCAAAAACTCTCAGACATTGTAGCACAGGAATAATCTTCAGTAATTATCTCCAGTCACATTCCTTTTGAGTCTTTTGCCGACTTTGATGTTACTCCTCCTTGATCTTTACAACATATTCCCTATCATTCGGAATTGAACATTTCATTCATTATTGCATACTCCCCCTTATGATGAAATGAGAATCATTACATCATACTTCAGAATGAATGAAACTTCAGCGAGAACCGTCAATTCATAAAAATTGTAAGCAAATCTTTTCAAATCCACTTTTATAATCTTTTCAGATTAAGAGAATGGAAAGGTAACAACCAATTTCAACGTATGAAATTGTTTTCAATCTTATAAAAAAAATTGTCCTGTGAGTATAACGAATATACTCAATACAACGGATGTATTGTATATATGAGACTTTTTAAGGCTCATCTCACCAGGTCTTCCATTCAATCATCGATAGCTTAATAATAGCAAATCTATGAATGTTTCGGCAAAATAACATATAAAATGCAAAATTTGTGTAGTGTAGAAAGATAAAGCAACTAATACTTTTGTGTAGGCTCAAAATGATAAACCATGTGGAGTACACAAATTTATCAGACTCAATGCGTGATCAAAAAGACTTGAAGGGGGGACATATATCCTTCTAATTCAATATCAACTTTCTCCGAATGAGAAATTGATAGATGATGAGCTGCGTCCCCCAAGTGTTATTGAAACATTATCTGTTAAGAGATAAATGAGTAGTTGGTGGGGCTGTGACAAGAATTGGCCTAGGCTTTGCCTTTTTCAATATTAGACTCGAAAGAATTGAGAACTAATAGATTATGTGGTATGCCCGGTAATTTGGAAGTTTAGAACAGGATTCTAATAATCTTTTAATCCTGACACAACTCTYGTCAATTCTTTTGGGTCACAACAACTACTCATCTCTTTTTCATTTTAAGCTCAGCAAACAAACCCTTTTGTATTTAAAGCTCACTCAGATATGGTTGTCCTCTTGGGTAGGTCTGTGGGTTCTGACATTCCATAGAGATATTTTTGTGAAGCACTCAGTCCTTCCTAAATTACTGTAAGCTCAGTTGATCACAATGGTCGATCAAAAATATTATTTCTGTAAAGCACAATGATCAAATAAAATTGATTAAGAAAAATATATCGTTTAAGCACAAACAATGAATGAGTGATTTACGAAACCAGATTATTCAGTGTATGAGAGAAATGAATGAAGATATGTAAGTACGAGTTTACAAAATCTAAATATTCAAAAAATTATAGAATGTATATCAATCAAAGTAAAAAAAAAATTAGAAAACAAACTTTGAATACTAACGAGCGTATTATCACCGAAAATGATATTATTATAAGAGACGTGATAATAACAGTTTGAAGAATAGCTGAAACAGGTATTGGAGTTATGTTCGATGAGAAATTACGCAAGTAAAATATCAGGAAATACATGTTTAGAAAATGTACTCATTTCCTTAAAAAGAATTCACTTTTCGAAAATCATTTATTCAAAAATTCTAGAGACTCCCCCTAGAAAGTAGATTTAAGTAATGTTTCAGTTCAGCTCAAAAATTAAAAAAAATGGAAACATTTTTACCACGGGTCCTAACTGGGTGTTTAGAAACCACAATCAGTTAAGCACGGGTCCTGAACTGAATTGTTCAGAAGCCTCTTTTGGACAGTTTACAACTCCTCCTGAATTAGTGCATCATTGGTATGAATTTCTGATCAGCGCAGTAATGACGCACCTGCAAAATAAGATCAGACAGATTTTGGTACCCAAAAGAACTTGGGTCCTTTGTTAGTATCAGGTTGTGGTATGTCGTAACTGCCAAACCATCTATTCTTATTAGATGTTTTCTATTTAGCACTTTTAACAAGATGATCATAAATGCAGTAAGATCCATACCAGTTATTGTAATCATACCTGTTATTACCTTTCCAATATTTCTGAAATCTGTTGTCTTTAGTCCACCTCTTGTACCTCTTCCTGTTTACAAAATATGTGGTTTTGCATGTGGAGCACATGATCCTTTTCTTGCTTAAATTTATCAAGTCAGTAGTGGATCTYACAAAACAAGGAAGATTGTTAGTAACAACAAAATTAATAGACGACACAAATTCAGACTTATTAACCCAAATGCTTTTAACTTTAGAAGAATAATTGGGTGATCCGATAACATACCCTTGATAGTACTGACTTGAAGAACGAGAATAGTTCTTAGAAACAGTAGATTTAGGACTGCTTGAATAACTGTTAAACTTAGAACAATAATAAAAGCTGGTTTTACACTGTGAAGGAGAACCAGTTGAACCTTGAGCACAAGAAAAGTCTTTGACTTTCTTTAAAAGCTGGTCTCATTCAACAACAGCTAAATCATACTTCTCTTTAAGTTCAGTTCTCATCTTCAATTCAGTTTCAAGTTCTGTCTTCAGATCAGACAATTTCCTTGAAGTATCCAGGAGTTTACCTTCTAACTTGTTAGGAAAAAAATTCAGTGTAAAATAGTATTCGTCTTGAAAGATAAAATTGTCTATAATTGTATAAAAGTCATCGTGTTTGACTTTTATTAGGATAGTTTGACTTTGACTATTTTGTCTAGTTTGACCCTATATAAAGGGTGTTGGCTTTATAATTTTAGGTAGAGAGCCATATTGTAATATCAATATACGTATATGAAAGTTTGACCAAGATTGAGTGCATTGACTTTATCTCTCTCCTTCTTCTAGTATTCTTAATAGAAAACACATTCTGCCATTGATGATCTTGAAGCTTTCATGGAAGATTGATTGTTAGGGACTTACAATTGGTATTAGAGCCGGATATGCACGAAATCAAGACAAGAAATCATCGATTTTGAAGATTTATTGAAGATTTTTTTCTGGAAATTTTTTCAAAATCTTGTGGTTTTATGTTAAAACAATGATCGTTGCATGTGTTTTTGGATTGTGAATCTATGTTATTCACAATATTTCGTATTTTGATCATTAGTTTTAAAGTTTCTGGTGAAATTTGTGTTTTTGTGTTCTTAATTTTTTTTATAAAAATCAGTGTTTGATCCAATTTTTAGTAAATTTTATTTTTGTTGTTTTGTGTTTTTGATTTTTTTTTCTTCTAAATTGCTTAACCCAAATGTTTTAGGCACAGTTTTCAGCCCATCAGATTTTGGACTTAGAACCTTAGTCATTCATACGAGGTTTTCTAACCCCACCCCCTCCTATCTACATTTTCTACACCCCCACCTATATAATACAATAAAATAATTAAAATTTATTTATTTTATTTTTTAATTTTAACCCTTTAATATTTTTAGTTTTCACCCTTCAACTTTTTAAATACTTTTCTATTATACCCTTTAGGTTTTTTATCTATACTATAATTACATATATTAATTAACTATATATTATTATTATTAATTAAGTATT